TTTTTTTTTGTTTGGTTTTTTTCTCCCCCTTCCTCCCCCTGTTAAAGGGGTGTGCCTCCCACCCCAAAAACCCCCCCGCCAGGGGGGGGTGGCTGGGGAATTCTGGGAGTTGAAGTCCACACGTCTTAAAGTGGCCAAGGTGGAGAAACACTGATCTAACGAATGAATGAATGCATAAAATTGCCATTCACCTGTTGAATTTCTGCTTCTCAAAGGATAGGAGGTGGCAACCCAAACCTGGGTTATATTATAGACACTCCTTTGTCCCCCAGAACGTGGTGTTTACAGATTGCAAGCCTTGAAGTTGACTTGAGTGAGCTGTCGGAGGGGCTGGGCTGGCAAAGGATCAACCCGTCTGGCACCAGGGCTGTGCAATGAAACCACTGGCGAGGGACCTCCATTGCAGGGTACAGTGTTGACCCGACAGGAGCGACCACTGGATCCCAAAGGAAAGTTGAAATAAGACAATAAACAATTGCAACAGTTCCCGTGACGGGGTGTGCACAACGCAGACGGAAAGTCATTTGCAGGAGCGAGGAAGAGAAGGGGTTGGTGCCCAATGATGGATGGGAGGAAATCAAACTCTTTGCAGCTCCTGGAGCCCCAGGGCTGGTCTGCAGAAGGCTTGAGGGATAGAGCGGCTGGGTTCAAACGCTGCCACGGCTGGGGTCTGTTGGCCGGTTTATTTTTTTACCACATTTGTCATCTTGTTAAAAACGACACTGGGCAGTTTACACAGCCATCAAAATCAATCAAAAATTCAACACAAAAAGGCCCTGAATAAATAGAAAATAAAGAAAATCCAAGAACAGATGTTAAATTGGCAGTAACTCGGGGAGCGTCTGCAGGGTGCCAGCCACCCCCAGGGTTGGGTAAAATGCTTCTTGCCCCGCACAAGCTGGCAGAGCCAGGGCTTTAATCCTTTCTGGAAAGCTGGGGGGGGGGGCAGGTCCCTGCCGCACCTCTGGGGGTTTGGGCTTAGCATCCTAGGTGAAGCGAGCCACCGTTGTTGTGGCTAAGGGAAGCCACTATGGCTCGCTCAACAAACCCTGATAAAGGAATTGGTTTAGCAAGGTGGTACAGACCGGGCCGTAGCTTGAACGAACGTGTACTAGTCGTTTTCGTGAGCCCCCCGTTTGATTCTTTGAGAGAAGGGCTGAACGTGTGTGGGCAGGTAGAAAAACCCTTGACGGCTCCGGCCGATCAAAGGCCCGATAGCCGCATTTTGTGGAATCGGTGTTCTGAGATGGAGCATGTGATGTGCTAAGTCCTGGATCCCCAGTACAGCCACATTAAGTTCCTGGGATCCATTCCTGATTTTACGATTTTAGCTTTGTTTAATTAAAAGAAAGGGAAGCTAACTTGTTTCATAGCAACCCTAATCATCATCACCATCCTTATTATTATTATTATGGACAGTCCCAGACCGATAAAACCTAATCTTTATTTCCAAGAATATCTCTAGATGAGGGGCATCTGTGGGGGTGGAAGTCAAGACGGCACCTGTGATCACGCAATCATGTCGTGCCCTTTTCCACATGCACAGCTTCAGTCATAGCTGCCATCTTGACTTGTTTGACCCCACCTGCACAAGCCCCCTCGCTCTGCACCCCTAGTCTATAGATGTTTTGTGATCGGCTTTAACTCCCAGTGTGATCTCAAAATTCTCAATTTGCCCACTAGTCCCCAAACATCGCCACGCTCTGATTTACTTGCATTTGACTTAACAGATTTTGTTTTAACTCAGCTGTTAGAGCTGAAAACTCTGGCTTTTTCGACTAAAAAACAATGGTGGTTTATTCAGGAAACCCTAGCTGAACAAGCCATAGTTGAGCACAATTAGATTAACACTAGTTGTGTTATTTCAGTGATATGCCGCAGACCTGGCTTTTCTTTACAACCCCAGAGTTAATTGAAATGGATGCAAATTCTGGCCAAAATGAAATGCTTGTACGGATAGAAATATCTTCAGTCCTGATTTAAGAGCAGGGAGTCGATGCATTTGTGACTCTAGCAGGCAAGCAGGAATAAAGGCTAAAATTCCTGGGAAAATTCGCAATTGTCGTAATATATGACGTTTATTTACAGACCCCCTCTCTTCATCCGAGAGGAGATTTACGGAAACAGAATAAAAACAACAGGAAGATACTGCAAACGGTTGGCTTCCAATAAAAGTGGTGCTGAGAGTCAGGAAAAGGATTGCAAATAAGGGGGCTTGCTTGATGTGGGCGTGCTTCCCAATCTTGGCCATGTTAAGATGCATGGACTTCAACTCCCAGAATTCCCCAGGCACCCATGCTGGCTGGGGAATTCTGGGAGTTGAAGTCCATGCGTCTTATAAATGCCAGGGTCGAGAAACACTGTTCCAGAGTGTCAGGGACTGTCAGAAAATGCGTTGCTTTGAGTCAAACCACGTTCTGACTCTTGTGTTCGATTTGGAAGAGCCGCGATGCCAACAGAGCTGGAGGGCACCCAGCTGTGGAATTATACACCGATGCACCCAGACCCACACGCAGAGAGTGTCCCTATCTCTGTGTGGCTGCAAAGCTTATGTTTAGATGCAGGCCAGATGCAGAAGGGGAGACAGAGTCAAGGTGGAAAGAACATTCACCTTTGCAAGGCTACCAGTATCTGAAAAAAAGTTGGAATAAAAGGCCATAATTACTCAGCCAGGGGCTACCTTTAATGCACAGTTTCTAGTTTCAGGTTCTCCTCCTTTCTGGCTCTCGCTCAGCCCCCGCCCCCCATAAATAACAGCATTTTCCCCTCCCCGCCCCCCTTTTGCTGGTGGCATAGCAGGAGGCTGTGGGTGGGAACTGGATTGCTGCCCTTGAAATTCTTTCTACCTAGTTAATGACAAATCTGCTCTGGATTCCCAGCACAGGGGAGCTAAAGCCGTTGGAGAAGTCTGCAATTCTTAAGGAGGGCACAATTGGCACATTCATGCAGGTGCAACGTTTCTTTCCTTTCTCACCCAGGACCTGTGGCTTGGGAAATCCACACATTTTTGCTTGGCAGCCTCAGTTTCCCTTTGCTGGACCCACCGTCGGATAGCAGCCACTCTTGCATTGCACAGGATGGGCTAGAACTGAAGAACTAGAACTGAGTCACTTTTTGTGAGATGGGTGGTATCTAAATTTGAAATATAAATAAATAAAAATAAGTAAACTAAATGTCGGCTGCAGGCAAGAGATTGGAGGTTCTCAGCTGCGTGGTCAGCATGATGGAGGTCCTGGGTTCAACTCCTGATATCTCCAAGTGGGCTGGGAAAACTCCCTCTCTGAAACTGGGCAGTCAAACCAACAATGGCCAACTTCTTGATGGCTGGGATAGGCATAAACCTTTCACCTTTTCTTTTCCTTCTTATTTACTTCTTAGTTAGCCTATTTTAGGATTACACACCAGGTTCTGTGTGGTTCCCATCCTCTTTCAGCAACTCCGGTCAGAGGGTCCTCTCTGGAGAGTCATGTTGCTCATCCGTAGTATAGGTAGACCTGGGCACAAATATTCCTTCCATATTCTCCCCTCCCATCCCCAATTTTTAGGCCAAGAAATTGGGCAGATGATTTCTCCAAATTTCTGCAAGGGAAGGAGAGGTTCTTTAA